GAGAGTATAAACGCAGAATGTACCGTAAAAGAAAAGATAAAATAAAACCATGGATCCATCATACTTCCAGTCCTTTTGCAAGTTATACGTGGAAGAACTGGAAAAGTTTAAACAATATACGATAAAAATAATCCAAATGCCTATAACCCCTACAGAAAAGTTTGAGATAAATCCCCTTACCAGTATCCAACAGCTAGTAAAACAGCAACTCTCACCCGGTAGTGTACAATAGTGGAGTTTTCCCAAATTCAAGTCACTCGTCGGAGAATAGACACAGACCATTTAGCAAAGAGACTGTTCTAAACAAAACCTCTTATACAAGCTTAGTTTCGCAAGGCAAATGAAAAATGAGATAAACGAGCAGCTCAAGGACTAACACCAAAAGAAGCCTTCTAAAGAATAGCGTTAGGAGCATAACAGTTTGAAAAAAAATTTTTGAAAGTGAAAACAACTAGGAAACGCACATTTAGTCACTAAACCCTTAATGTACACTTTCAATCCCTTTCTCCCTCCTTTTTTGCAAAGACGTTTCCCGATAAACAAGCTGTTACATCCGTACACGCTGGAAGAACCTCATTTCTCAATTCCACTTAACAAACTTAGAAAAAAATGTATCATTTATTCCTTTTAAAGCAAAGTAAGTCAGCATTCAAATAATCCATTAACAAAATGGCGATTAACCACCCTTAAAACTTGCAAGAGCTGAACTGATGGTAATGCGTCTGCCACTTATCACAACAGAAACCTCTCATCCAACATTAACGCCAAAAAAACTACAATTACCACTAAAATCACGTATGGCGCTGCAGTATCTTTAAAACCGATAAAATAAAACCCACTGAGACGTGGTGGCTGAAGCATCTTGAAGAAAAGAAAGTCTAATAGAAACAAAAAAGAGCGAATTCCAATTGATCTGCCAATTACTTACATTAGCTAGTCAGGACAGAAAGTTATTTGAGTCAAAAAAGAAATTGAAAAAGGAAAGAAAACAAAATAATACAACCCGTCCAACTCTACGTTCACTGAAGCATCTGGATAATAGAAAAACAAATGCGACTTGAGGAATGACTAAACCTTTCAAGAGTCGTCTGATAAATTCGCTAGTTTCGGATTGAATGGAAGGCATAATTTTGTGTCCAACTAAAAAAAAATAGGTTCAGCACCAGGATGATAAAGATTTAAGAGAAGAAAGAAAGTAGGGCGCATTTTGAACCACAGGAAGTACTTGATAAAACAAAACGATACTGTAAAAAGGATTCAATAAACTCAAAAAAAACTTTTGAAACTCAACTCCTCGCCGTCAATTACATGGGGTCCATTAGCAATAGCCCTCAGTACACTCTCGCTGTCTTTGAAAATAACAAATCCAAAACCTTTATGCAGACCACTACCTTCGTCCTGAAAGGAACTGCATAACTGACAGATGATAAATGCAAGTTAACAGTATTTCAGCCATGTTTCGGTTATGCAGATTATCAACAAGACACTGTTTTTCATACAAAAAATAAAAAATATGCTTCAACAAAATAAAAGTTTCCACTAAAGAACTTACATAAATTAAGCTAACTTTTTCAATCTCGCCAAAGCGCCTGAAGTACTGCTTCACCTGCACTAAAACTCAAATGCACTTTCTTATCAGTAGGAACTTTGTCAAGCTGCTAACAACTATAGAAATACTTGTACAGAAACTTACACTCTCCCGTAACCCACTTCACGTTGGCAACAAATAACTTCCGCTCAAAATTTTTTATTCTTTGCTGTCCCCGTTTTAAAATACTAGCCATTAACCGCCGTCCCTGATACATGGCAAAAGCGTGAAATGGTGCAAAAAGAAAATTGAT